GTCTACAGTAAGGTATTCCGAACAACTATAGTATTTCTGGCTATTTTCAATAAACTTGTTAAATATTCCGGAAATAAGAGCAGGTCTGTCTAGTTTCTTTCTATCTTCTCTTGTCTCTATATCATCAAATATTAAAACCGTTAAAAGAAACAAAAACCTCTTTAGAGACATAGTTACCCGAAAAATGTCTCGTCCTCTTCCATCCGTTGACCACAAACTTTTAATATCCTCATGTCCAGACTTGCAAACTCCGGCAAGTAATAATAACTCTGTAAATGCTTTCATTTGTAGCAAATTGACATGACTGACATGAGCTCCTTTGCTTTTGTACTTCTCAACAAATTTAGTAATTTTTTTGTTTGTATGAAGGCACACTATTTCGAATAAATCATCAGGTAGCAACAGTTACCAGGAATCAAGCTCGGGCATATTCATTTTCTCACAGGCTTCTCTTCTTAATCCCGGAAGATGTGTAACAATGTTATGACGTCTTACTCGCGACAAACTCGGAGCATTCATTGACCATTTGAACCTACTTTTACCTCTATAAAAGCCAGAAGTCTGCCTATCTTCCTCTTCCTCGCTACTGGAACTTGATGAGCCGGAATCCGAGTCAGTTTCTAAGACACTCTTTTCAGAACAGCTAGCCACTTCTAATTCCTCGCAATTACTGATTTCTTCGTTGTCACAAACAGCTGCTGTTGTGGTTTCACAAACAGTCTCTGGATCAGATTCATCATCCCCGTCTTCTAATAATTGTGCAATTTGATCCTCATCCAAAAAACCGGCCATTACTATGGTTATTTGCTGAAAAAATTAAAAAAACGTTCTAAATATAGTGTCCATGTAAATAATTATACTTGGTGTCGGGGGTGATTTTTGACCCCAGCAGTGTACGTACCTCTGTTCCCAGTAATGTTAACAACGTCCAACGTCCGACGACGATGGACCAACGTCCGTCGCCCGCCGCACCCCGCGACGTAATGAGATTACTCGTAGCTAGATGCGCCGGAGTGTAGGTTATAAAACTGCAAAGTTATGTTAAGAAATATGTCGCACTGGGGTAAATTTTGACCCCCGATACCAGTTAAGGGATATACATTGTAAAGTAATAAGTAATGAATTCCAAATGTTACTTATAAATTATTATGCTTAATAGTTTACAAAAATATAAAAAATGAAAACAATAAAACGCGTTATACTGGTAATAAACAATAAAGGGGTGGTGAACAAAAGAGCAAACGAACATTATCGTAATCTTTAAATTTTATTACTGTAAGTGTATCATAAATAAAAATATACAATTCTTGCACCTTGTTTGTATTTTTACTAGCTGACTCAATAGACATTGCTCTTGGTAGACGATAAAGTCTGTGAGTGGCTTGGCTCTGTAGTTGATGCCCGCAGCTCCATCAGCACGGACATAAGATTAAGTTTTGTCTTATGTCGGCCGATGTCAATTTCAACCCCGATCACGCTTTCGATTCTGCTTCCGTCTCCACGTTTGTTTTCGACTCCAGTACCGTTTTCAATTTCGGTCCCGGTTCCGAATTCGATTCTAATCCTGGTTTCGTTCGCTCCGTCTCGCTTTAAATTCCGTTTTTGCTGCAAATCATAATTCCAATTTGAGCAAAGCCGAAGGCAAATGCAAAATAAAACAAAAGTTATATTACTCTGTGATAGTGTAGCTTTCTACGAACTACAGAATTATTAAAAGTCTCTTAGGAATATAATTTCATAAAAAAAAACATAAGAGACTTTTCATTGATGAAATATCTAGATACATAATCAGCTTTGTACGGAACCCGCAGGTTGCGAGTCCTATAAGTACTTATCCGGTTTTTTAATAGCATATTCGAAGGGTAAACGAGTTTGCGAGCCATCAAAGAGTAGGTGGTCATCGTTGCCCATAGACACTCATCGCATTCTCGCTAAACAAAACAAGCAAGGGAATTTCATATTAATTTCAACTTGATACCTCCACGCGTTCCTGAGAAAAAGGGTGTTGACAGACAGACGTACAATGAGCTAATTCTATAAAGTTTCTATTTTCCTTGGAAGTACGGAATTTTAAAGAAAAATATTTTTAAAACCTGGAGGACTGGCGAAATACAACTGGCGTATTTTGCGATCTCTTCAAGGGATTTGATTGTGTTTATCATGAAAATTCATCAGAAAACTATGGAGTCTGTCACTCCATAGTTTCCCGATCAAAAAACCGATTTTATATAATGTTTTTTCGATCACACTGCAACTTTGACCATACATAAAAGGAGCAAGGAGAATTTTGTTATGGATATCTGACATTAATCTGCCAAAAAATATTTTCACTGTCTTTGACGGTGTATCAGTTCTCACTTACTTTATTTCCTGCGTTTGTCCTTTCTACGGCTCTATCACAATTCCAATTTTGCACCAATCATTAGATACTTAGACTTCATTCCATAACATAGCTCTTATACTTGTGGCACTGATGTCTACATAAAGTTTGAGATTTTATAATGTATTATTTTGTAGAATGCACGTAGAACCACTTTTGAATAGTTTGTTAAAAAAGTGATTTATCAGCCTTGCTGTCAAACGCATATTTTATGCATTTTGTGATAAGTGCCTGTTGTATCTGTAACTTTTGAATTGATCATATTTTTAGTTACATGTTTCTTAATTTGTTTATTTCTTTTTGTAGAAGAAACTGCCCGTAACGACAATAACAATGATGACGACGACTTGAACCTACAACATCAAAATTGGCTTGATGATGAAGCTCTGAATGATTGTAATGATGACCGAGAGAAAATTAAATTGTTTCACTAAATAACTATACTTACATAATTAACAATTTTTTTTCCTAAGATTATTTTTTTTACATTAACCTAATGAATACCTGTTTCGAAATAAAATGCAAATAAAGGTTTATTGTATACAATTCATTGCTGCAAAAAAAATAATTTCCCCAAATATATGTAGTGGATAAACTTTCGGTCTTAAATAAATAATTGTTAATTATTATGTTGATTAGAAGATTCATTTTCTTTGAATGAAGATACAAAGTCATTGAATCGAAGGTGGTAAGTATTTTGCTCTGAAACGCGTATGCGTTATAAGTATATAAAGCTCTCGCGCTCATACTAACAGCTGACTGTTTTTTACGTTGCGGGAATGTTAGGATTTATAATTTGTCTGGCTGATGAAATATAGTTTTGTAACAGTTGTCTGAATAACATATATAAAAGTTAAACATTAAAATATAAGTGAAGTTTATTAATTTTTCTCTGCACTTTGAAGCGTCTGTCAAAAGTTGTGGCCAGTGGAATGTGTTTGGCGACACTGGATACTACTTTAGAGTGATATTTCACAAAACATCACAAAAATCAGCCATATAAATTTAAGTAAAGCAACTCTAATTTTTACTCACCTTTCACATCTGGTAAGTATCTGTACATTCGTCACAGACTCAATTCTGTAAAACACTGAGTACTCTGAACGTACCTAATGTTTCATATATTTAAATATAGGTCGTGTCTAATGGCTGTGGTATCTTATTCTAAATATTTTATATTTAAAATAATATTTTAATTTTGAAATGCACATTAAGATATTAAAAAAATATATACAAAAATACACGAATATACATTCAATTCGTACGAGAAAAGCTTAATAGTAGGAAAGAGCAAATGCATATGTATACAATGTGTTGTTTAATTACACTGAGAAATATTGCTATATAATTCATAGTACGGAACCTTCTGCAATTCGGGCTCGTGCTTGGCTAGTTTTTACAACATATTTCAAAAAGTTTCTAGTTTACCCAGAGAGTATTCTAGAATTTCCCATCGTTTTCATTGTTTATCTCATTCCTTCTCTTACGCGTTTATAGGCCGGAGTTCTCGTTTACGACGGGCGGTTGTCAATATGCCTATAAGCAATCACGTCCAACCTAAGGCAAGTTTGTCTTTACACGTAATACACAAGTCTACGATAATGTGCCTGTTAAAATCATTTAGGTACAAAATATTAAATCGTAATCACCGCTATGTACACACTGAATAATTTATCTTGATAATACCATGAACTTTCTGCCTTTTATATTCCCTTGTCTTTTGAATAAAAGAGTAACATGGATATTGTGAGTTTTAAAGTCTGTGACCACGGCGCCGTCGTGTGCCACCGGCGACAGCGGCGGGCGGGGCGCGCCGCTCTCGGCTCCATGGCGACAGTCTATTATGAGGCGGACGGCTATGGACGCGGATTAATCAATACACGGGTATTGAGTTCCATTAAATCTTGGTTCCGAGTACGCCTAAAGTCGATTTAAACTTTATCAATTCAGTTGAGATGAATAAATAGCAGGGAATACGAAAAACCTTATGTGTATTATGAATAATTTCTAAGATTCGTGTGCCTAGTGTTTATTGTTATCTTGGTATGTCGAGTTTCATTTGAATATAATTTTATTCGCCTACAAATATAGAATCAACTTTTACGTTTTTTATATAGATCTCTTAAGCCCGGTCTTCTAGTCTCAGATCTTATACATTCCACTCGTGATTTGTCCTCGATCCCGACCTTATTTCAGTTTCCATTTTTCTGTATTCTAATCTCTATAAGTTTTCTATAATCTAAATTCTATATTTACATCTTACTTAATTTTCAACCGCATCCAGATAATCGAACGATTCTAATCCCAATCCAGATTTCGATCCTTATTCTTATCCCCATTTAGGTTTCGGTCCCGATACTGGTCGCGGTTCAAATCTCGATCACAGTTTTGATGGCTTTACCATCGAAAACATTATAACGACATTGAATTATGCTCTCAATCTAATTTTTCCTTTTATCTTTTACGATTATTCCTTGTTAATCACTTTTTCATATTTATATAGAATTTGACAATGTTACATATCGTTTGTCTTCGGGCTTCACGTTACTTTTGCAAAATTTCATCAAACTCATTTCGTCAGTTTAGCCATGTGCATCACTTTGTACAGTTCGAGGTAGGAGTGGTGGGTCAATGGTTAAAATATTGCTTTCAAAACCCAAAGGTTCCGGGTTCGATCTCGGCCACGGGTGAATCGATCGATAAGTTTTAATTTATTTAAACACACCACTCGTCCGTGTTCGTCGCGCTGGCGGCACTGGTCGTCGGAGCGCCCGCCCGCGCCATAGCCCAGTGTGGAAGGCTCAAGGTCCGACTTCCTCTAAGAGTATTTTAGAATGTCATGTTATTTAATTAATTGACATCAATGCAGTAGGAGCATACAGTGCGCGCTCCTACTTTGCATTGGCAGTACCAAAAGATATCGGTGGTGTAGAGTTACTGTATTGAATCGACCTTTAGAGGTTAAAACTCATTCTAACTAATTTTGAGTCAGAGATGTGAAATTAATAAAAAATCAAGTTACATAGTATAAAGATAGGTAACAAAATAAATTTTCGTCATTTTTCGCAGGACAAATTTCGACCGTTTTGAATTTTTTTCTTGATAGTGATTCGTTTTATATGTTGACAGAGTACTTATTGGTGGGTCAAATTGGTCAGCAAGATCTTCCTTCTTTTGACAGCTCTTCGAGCACTTCTAAGTTTCCAGCAAAACTCAAAGTTTTCAGTTTACGTTTTACAGCACTCATGTTTTGACAATTTTATTCTTAAACTGTTATAAAAACTGATGTATATTGCGATAGAACCAAATTACTTCTGAAAAATTTTTAATCGCCAACATATGACTTGTTTTGCTGAAGTTTAAATGAAATCAATAGTAATATATACCCAAAATGAAATACCTGACACCAAGCAAGATAGCAAGTTTTAAAGTCAGTCATAAATTCCTTTATCATTTCTAAGGATTGGCACTCCTATTTATTGTGTACTCCTAAATTGTTTTCTAAGAAACAATGGTGTACATTGTCGGAAAATTCTTAAAGTCGGTAACTTATATTGTTTCGAGCTACAGCGGTATTAAGTTTCAAACAATCGAATTGTAAAGGTTGTAAAACAAAACATTGCTATGTCGAGATACAGAAGTTCAATAATATTTTTCGAGTTATAGAGTAAAAATATGTAACAAAATGGCTTGTAGGGACTCAGTGATTATTTCGATTAATAGTAAGTTGAAATGTCAATTAATGATAGTTTTGGGATTTAAAGGGAAGGGAAAAACCTTTTTTTTAGAGTTTTGGAGGTTTCGATTTATCGAGGTAGGTAATCGAGGTAAAGAGCTTCCACTATATAAGGATTACTTGTTGACTACGGAACCACATCCACATGCTTTGAATAATCATACGAAAATCGAAAAATATAATTAGGCGTTATGCTTGACGTATGTGGACTACGAAAAAGTTTTTGATTCAATCGAAACCTGCTACATGGTCTTCAGCGATGCCACATTGACTATCGTTACATCGAAGTGCTGAGATGTTTGTTAATATTGCTGTACTGTGTCAGTTCAAGGACTGAATTAAAGCAGAAAATCAATCCAACTGCAGATGGGTGTGAGGCAGAGCGACCTGATATCTCTGAAACTCTTCACTACGGCGTTGGAAGACGCTTTCAAGCTTTTGAATTGGAGAAGATACGGCATCAGTGTCAACGGCCGTCGACAGTCATAATGGTGGAATCGACGAACGACGGCACCTGCTCGCAGGCCTCAGTAGAATTTCTCACGAAGTGGGTGTAAAGATTAACACGGACAAAACAAAAATGATGTCGAGTGCCCGCGTTATACTCACTCCAGTGGTAATCGAGAACTCTCCAATCCGAGTTGTAGACGAATAAGGATAATTCCGACAGGCCGTCTGATTAGGCAGATCTTGCTTCGAGGTTGCACGAAAAATTCGGCTCGGTTGGGCAGCGACCGGAAAATTACGTGGCCTTGTCAAATCCAATATAACTCAGAGCTTAAAGATGAAAGTCTTTAAACAGAGCGTGCTATACGGTTGCCAGATATGGTTCCTCATCGTCTGACTCACAAACAAGTTCAGAATAGCAGAAATAGCTGCGCTCGGAGTTCTTTGGCGAGACAAAATACGAAACGAGAAAATTAGCTGGCAAATGACAGCGTACATAATCCGTAAGTTGAAGTGGCAATGCTCAGACCACCTCACTCATAGAGCTGATAACCGCTGGAGAAGAAAGGCTTTTGAATGACGACCACAAACTGGACGACCTCCCGCGAGATGGAGTGACGACCTGATCAAGATAGTGGGCCACCGTCGATCGCAGGTAGTCCTGGATCGTACGTCTTGAAAATCTAGAGTTGAGGTTCTGTTCAGCAATGGACGTCCAATAGCTGAAACTGAAATGACATTGATTCACAATAAAATTATATCAATATTATTGAAATAACGTTAAAAACTTGCGTTTCCACAGTAGTTTTTTTTACTGTTTAATCTTTAGGAATCAATTGTTATATAGGGCGGTAATCAAATTGGATGGAGAGCGAAATCTAATGTAAACAAAACCAAACTCGTTATGTTGCCCCTTCGCGCAACATTCGCGCATCTTATGAACGCATGTAGGTAACTTTTTTCCATTGCTGATTTATAAATTTTATATTTTTAACCCAAGTTATTTTTTTATGTAAAAGGTATTAAGTGTTATTGTCATTATTATCATTAGTTTAGTGTAGACTTTTGGAGTACCAAACATTTTGACGTGATAACGTTTAATAAATCGATGAACGTCCGCTGCACGCACGAAAAAGCATGACTCATTGTCGCGTTCCGCCTTAACCGAGCGGGCGAGCGAGAGCGCGGAACAATAGAGAGGCACGATCGGCCTAAGCGTTCGACTTGTGACGCATTCATCTCTCTTTTACTCCATCGGCGGTGGAAGAGAAATACAAAATACTGATAATTATCTCTCATGATGATACAAAATAAATATCATTAGTAGACGACACAAAATAATGATAATTCAGTGACAATAATTCAATTCAATTCATTAAAGTATGCATATTTTCATCAATGTTTTCTTATGACATTTTCACGTAAAATTATCGTCCGTAAAACGACTTTACAGACAACCATTTTTTAATATAACATTATTTATGTAATATATTTCATCAAATCGATATATAAAAGTATTTACTCGCTATCTGTATTATTAGTGATGCGTTTCCCTAAGTCGCTTTGGTCATTGTATATTTTTTAAGAAAATCATTTTAAGGCGTAAACTCCAGTCGCGTCGGAGCTGCCTCGATTTTATTTTCAAAATAGCTGTACCATTCTAAATCCCAAGGAAAATCCAATTCCGATTAAATGCCTTAATATTTCGATTGTGATTTCCGTTCGTCGTTTTAAAACAGCCTACTGACCGTCGCCGGGTGGGTTTCTGTTTCGGTCGTCGACGAGCCTCTAGCGTCAAGTCAGATCGATGGCGCGGTAGGTGTGCGTCACGCCCTATTCGTCAGCTTCGAGTGAAACACGAAAGACGGCGCCCGCCCATTGTCTGCAGCGAGCGCCGCCGCCCGCCGCCCGCCGCCGCCCAGGTTGCGCTATTTGCCAAATGTGGATATGCGGAAATTTCTAGTGGCGATGACGTCACCTCCACTGCAGAGGGCCCGGGGTTCGACGGCTGGCCCTGGCCCGCCCGGAGCACCAGATAATTCGGATTTCGGAGAGCGTGCATGACTCCCTTACTAAAATGCGTCTGCCGCTGTACACTCGACTTCAATTTTTATTTATTCTATTCAAAAAATAAGATGGACTGCACTGAGATAGGAGTTCTTTCTTTTTAAAATTCATACAGATAAAAGAAAAAATTCTATAAAACCATATCATTGTGTCGTCATATATAAAAAGATCGATAAGACTAATGAAGTTTTGTTTAAGATATCATAATACAAATATGATTGAGATTAACATGGTTATCCAATTAAAGATCAAAAGATATTCTCACATTTCAGTGTTTCCACGTAGAGTTGTTAAAATGATAAGTTCATCAAATCAATTTGTTTGTAGCTCTCAACCTGACAAAAATTTTCCAATTTTAGGTAAGTTGCGAGAATCGGCTTTAACAAAGTTATTTGTGTGCAAAAGAAACAGTTATCTTTAAATTGTCCAAGTTTTATAATATGTTTATCGTAAATTGTAAATAAAAAATGTTTAGAGAGATGAAAACAATAAAGCTGACAGTAGGCCAGACACTATCTGGATGACAGTCTATTTTTAAATGAAATCAAATTACAATTTTCTCATGCCGAGGATATCATCAGTAACCTTAACTGTAAATGAAAAATTAAATGTAAAATATTTTTGACGTGACAACGTCTTAAATTAGGTTGCGGCTGGGAGTCACTTATGAAAAAGTGTAACGCTCGGTAACGTAACGATGAGTCACCGAACGAGAGAGAGGCCCGCCGAATGCCTTGCGTCTCTCTCCCACTCAACTATGATCGGTCTGCCGCGCGCGCAGCACTAGAGAATTAGTGCATAGCTTGCAAATGTATTGCAAGTTATTGTATGTATATTTGTATATAAATACGTATGTATGTGTAAAGGTAAAAATAAAATTTTGTTAATATGAAATTCAGTGCGAGATTCTTTGTATAAATTAATGTTTTAAATATAATTCTTTGTATAAATAAATGTTTTAAATTGTTACTATTATTTCATCCTTCTTCCTACTATACGAATGAATATTCACATTAAAATGATTTTACCATTCAAAGTCGTTGTCACGTAAAACTTTCGCCCGTATACCGACTTTACAGGCAACCAAATTTTTTTGTAAGAAGTATGAATGCATATATAAAATATGTGCATTTTTTTGGGCAACACCAATTTTTTTGATTTCAAGTAATGAGTTGTTTGTTTTGTAACTTCCTCACTGTACGGTAAATATCAAGGACGGGAGGAAGCACAATCTGTAATATCAAGATTTGATTGTTCTCAGTAGTACATACATACATACATTAAATGATACAGTTTACTTAAATAAAATTACAACTTTTTCGTTAATTGTTGGCACTCTTCTGTATTGTCAGCAGTGGACAAAATCATTTCTTATGTAAGCATGTACTTATGAAAAAAATAATTACTGTAAGGGACTTCAAATTCAAAACTGTCAG